CGGTTAGTATGGATGTGGATTCTGGGTTGTGTCACATTCTGCTCCTCTATGCATTTCACATCTGTACTTATTTTCCTATCATGCCCCTCCTGTTGGTTGGACTTATTTTCTTCAGTTTTAAGCTCATCGCTTCTCTCCATACTAGTTCCAGTTGTTCTTTCTTTCAGATATTTTGATTTCTGGTTGTTGTATTCCTGCTCCATGGCCCAAACGTAGATCAGAGCTCTTCCTCCCACCTTTAATAACCGGACCAGCTCTCTGACAGCAGCCTGTCTTCTCTCCTAAGAACACCTACAGTTTGTTCAGTATTATGTACAGACTACATTTTTTACGTACATTTATGTATTTGGAAGATGTTTTGATTCAAAGTGATTTATATTGGATTTAAGATCAATTTAACATTAACCATGGAAATCGAAAATGCACAACTGTTTGAGAAAGAAGAATACAGGAATCACATTTTTTGACATTTTTCATGGGGGGTAATGGGGAGGTAATAAGAAAGCCAGAGAGATACTATTATTCTTAAACACTAGGGTCCATATACTTAAAGCTTATAAGAATCTTCTTAGAGAGCTCCTAATTTAGCTTAAACATTTCTAACTAGGAGTCTTAGCTTAAGAGTGATTCAGGACCAATCTGAGAGCAAGTCTGAGTGAGGAAAAGACAAAAACCTTCATATAATATATGTATACATTTATTTATATTTACATTTAGCAGACGCTTTTATCCAAAGTGACTTACAGTGCATTCAGGCTATACAATTTTTTTTATTTTTTACCAGTATGTGTGTTCCCTGGGAATTGAACCCACGACCTTTTGCACTACTAACGCAATGCTCTACCACTGAGCCACAGGAACATTTATATATATTTATATATGTGTGTGTATATATTTATGCATGTTTATTAGACCACCTATCATAATAGAGAAAACAAATATTATAGGAATCTGTCAAAAACTTTTTTTAAAACTAAAAATTGTATTGTCATTTATTGGACAAATAACAAACTGAAATAACTAAATAGTCTTTATTCACACATAATAACAAAAAAAACGTGGCCTCCTTTGACCTTGATAACAGCTTGTATTCTTGCTGGCATTGTTTTTATGTACTTTTCCACAGTCTCTGTCGCTATTGACTTGTTATTTGTTCCCAAAGACTTGCTTTTGATGAAACTTTTGTGCGATCTATCTTTGAATCCATTAAATCTCAACAATAATTATATTTTAGCATTAGAAACACTACTGTGACTAAAGAGCTTATACATTTTTAAGAGCTACACGATCGAATCTAGCGTCTTAAGTCACTGTTCTCCCTCTGCATCTTTCGGCCAGTTTCTCCTCTGCTATAGTATAAAGAAACTTGTAAGCCTCATAGAAGTCTTCCTCCCTACTCCTAACACTTTTTGACCTCAACAGCTCTTTTAAGGATTAGGATGCTGAAAAAACTTATTTTTACTAGGGTCTTCTCTTTGATTTCAAGGGGAATCGTCCACTTTTCTCAATTTTCTTAGAATTTTGTAACTAGGAGCAACTCTTTGCACTAAGAATTTTCATGAATACAGGCCCAGAAGAACGAATGATTACATTATCAAAGTAAAATGTTTGTCAAACAAAATACACTAATGTTCAAAAGTTTGAGGTCAGTAAGATTTTTTTTTGTGTTTTTGAAAGAAGTCTTATACTAACAAAGACTGCATTTATTTGATAATATTATTACAATTTAAAATAACTCTACTTTAATATATTTTAAAATGTCATTTATTTCTGTGATGGCAAAGCTGAATTTTTATCAGCCATTATTCCAGCCTTCAGTGTCACGTGATCCTTCAGAAATCATTTTCTGATTTTCTTCTCACATTTCTTCTCATTATCAATGTTTCTCACCCGTGAGTCCACAGATAACGGCTCTCTCCTTTCATCACCAGCAGACTTCGCTCTGGCAGCACCACAGCGACAGAACGTCCATCAGGATGTTTAAAGTCCATTACTGTCTATACGGAAATAGCAAGATGATTATATTTATCCATGTAAGAAAATCATGAGGTTAATTTTCCATCTCCATCTTTGTTTTGACAATTGAAAATCAGATAATCAATAATGCTGTACCATAACCAATCAATAAGGCTACAAACAGGCCTGGTGTAACAGAATGCCCTGCCCCACTAATAATACTAATGTATGAAAAACATAAACATATTCCCAAAAATAAACATATCCTTATAATCCATAATTACTGGCATTTCAGTGCTTCATTTATTCGTACCTTTGCTCCGAGAGGAAAGGATGGTGTCCTCAAATGCAGAGTGTGTGTCTATATGAGGGGGAATCCCTGTACCAGACAATAACATTTAGTCCTATAAGTAGAAATAAATCTCCCCTAAGCTGCACAAATACATGAGCTACTACCTTGTTCACTTTGCTATTGGTTTATAGTGAGCTGGTCTGGAAGGACACTTATGTGGCCATCAGCCAAACACCTTTGTAGCAGAGCATCACATTCTGCCGGCAGGCCTGAAATGACAGGTGTCTGTTCAATTTTAGATTAATTAGATACTTAGATTATAATACTTACATTATATGTAAATATAAATACGCTACCATTCAAATATTTGGAGAAAACTAACACTTTTATTCAGCAATGCTGCAATAAATTGATCAAAAGAGAGAGTAAAGACATTTATAATCTGACCAAAAATGACTATTTTAAATAAATGCAGGGTTTCCTGAAAAATTGTATCATATTTTCCACTAAAATATTAAGCAGCTCAACAGTCTTCAACACTGATAATACTAAATTCAGTCATTACAGGAATAAATTACATATTAAAACATTCAAATAGAAAAGTTGTTTTACACGTTATTTTATTATGTTACTGCATTTAGATAATAATTGGGTATTAAGGACTTCTTTAAAAAGATTTTAAAAACACACACATATACATACATATCATCATCACAAAAAATGTGATGCAAAAAAATGTGGAATTTTCATACTTACCACCTGGTAAGGGCTTGTCTTTATCTGCGTTATTATTATCGTACCGAAACTCAAACCCATAATGCTTCACTCTTCTGTTTTAAAGCTTTCTGCACTGCAATACAAAAATAAACATTATTATTATCATGACAACTAATAAATATCTGAATAGGTTTGCCTTCATAACTCCGCTATACGTGAATATGTAACAAAGAGGATTAAACAATGTGATAGATTTATTTAGTTTTTTTGTTGCTGATTTGTAATAATTCTAACTGAGGCTGTCAAGTATCTCTTACCCGTGACTTCATCAGTATGTGCCGCCCAATCAACAGCCTGTAGCAGCTACAGCTCCTCCTCTGGAGACACAAAATCCTCCAACACTGACAGACCAGCAGGCAAAGCACAGGATACACTCCTGTCACTGTCCACTGACAGTTGAGATCCATTAGAAACACTTCGTTTTAAGGCTCATTGAATATGATTATAAATACGAGTCAGTCAAGTGACACACCTTTCTCAACATAACTCAAATGAAGTGTCACACTTTGATCGTGACACTGCGGCGCTCGTCCATTGAGGAGTGTATATGCATTCTGGCCTGCCTCAGTTGAAGAGTATGTTACAAATGCATATGGTTTCGCTGGAGGGGTGAGGATAGACTCAACAGTACCTCCCTCTTTAAGAACCTGCAGCAGCGACTCTCTGCTCACTCCATTCCCCAAACCTCCATTAGACACCACCAGATGCTACATAACAGACATTCATGAACATACACATTACTGACAGCTTTTATGAGCCATTTATGCAAAGCAATGAACTGCATATTTCACCATTTGACAAACTTCATCAACACCCGTGTTACTGCATGAGATATGCAGAAACACACAACTTAGAATAATAACTTTTATCCATTATTAATTCACAATAATAACTGATGGTGTCTTGACCGTAGATATGTATAAATATCTATGGTTTTGACTGGGAAAGCCACAAATTATTTATATCTTTCATAATTGTTTAGCATCAATTTAAAATAAAGTCTGTAGATTTAGTAGCAGCTTATACACTGTAAAAAAACGTATTGAGTATTCAGACACACAGACATAATGAAACTAACAGCAGTAACGTTACTACTGGCTATTTAAACTCGACTGTGTAATTTGGTCGATTCATATTCTACTGACACTTCGTCAAAAGAAGCTTCGTAAGTACCTTTGTGGGATATGACACTGTGCTTATGCCCTCGCGTTTCAATAATGTGTGACTGGCTTTAATCTGCCTTCGAAGCAGTTTTTTCTCCTCTTTAGTTCTTCTGATACTTGCGCTGTCCAAGCTGCTCTCCATTGTGCAACCGCATATTTGATCCCCTCACGCAAGATCTACATAACTGGTTCCTAGAAGCGTAGCATAGTTGTTTTTCTGAAATGTAAGTTTTATTGCTTCCATTCTGCGGCCACGATTTCTACACATAATAAACACATATCTTTAAAAAAAATTACGTGACAGAAAACTAATGTTTTTACGTTGCAAATCGTTGATTTTGATCTTATAGTAATAACCACAGTGACGTTTCCAATTACTAAATGTTGACAGAGATTACAATGGCTACATCAAACCATATATACCATTTTCACAGGTCTTTTTAAAATCTAAATGCAGCATTATTATTTTAATTTTAATTATTTAAGGCCTTTGATCGACGGAGGTGCAGATATAGCTGGATTTTGCATTTGGGCAGAGACGGGCAACATTGATGTGCATTAGAATTAATCTTATATTCTGTTTGAGATTATGATGATCAACCTATGTAATTTCAACCTTAACTTTTAAGCAACGAACTGAATAAACGTATTGAATTTTTACAATGAACTGAACAAACTTATTGAATTAGAATTTGTATGATTTTTTTTATGAATTTTTACAATCACAGAACTTCTGGACAATGAAGCATCTGAACCTTTAATTCAGATTACTAACAATTTCTTTAACAAAGACATGCCTCACACAGTGCCTTGTAAGAAAGAAAAAAAGTTTAACTCATCATAAACTAGTTTGCTCGAGTATCTACTTGTTTCATAAGGGGGTTTTGGGCACTTGTGATATGGCCAGGCTGAGAGAAAACCAGAAAAGAACAGCAATCAAGCTTAGACTAGCTGAACAAATGCCTTTTTTAGAGTTGGTGATATGGGTTTATATTAATACTTCTGAAACAGCATCACAACAAGAAGCTTCTTGAAAACGGCGATTTAGAGGTACAAACAAAATACAGATAGACTGTAAACAATGTGACATTGGATTAATTTTTTTTACTAAAAATATTCAAAAGAAACAATAACAAACGTATGCTTTGGAAAACTGTTGATTTAGTTAACATAACACATCTAGCTTCCAATAATTTCTACAAGCAAAACACAAAATTCATCTCTCAGTACAGTATATTACAAGACAGAGGATGATCATACAAAGGAAAAAACAGGACTCGAGTTACTCTCCATAAAGAATATGTTGCCTGTGCCAATCAGGTACAAAGGGATACACTCCCAACCTGGTGGACACAGAAAATGGTTGTTACATCAGTCTTTTGTCTTCTGCAAACCGTGGGTTCATCTAGTGGCAGAAGCAGATATTTCAGGCGTAAAGGGAGGATGTGACTAGTGACGAAAATTTCCACAGAGAAACCTCACTTCTTTTGCTTGGGAGGTGGTCTGCAAAAAAAATGTGAAAACATTAGATTTTTTTTTTTTTTTTTTTAAACAATAAAAAACATTTCAGACCAAAACTATTCAGGCCTAAATACAAACCTGCACAAACCAGGGGTCACATTATGGGCAAACATGCTTTCTTATTAGGGCTGGGTAAAAAAATATCGATATCTCTATTAATCGATTCTCATTTTTACGGAATGATATCGATTCTTAAATCCCAAGAATCAATAGTCTAGCCTGTTTTCAGTTAATGGCCGGAACGTTGAAGGGCACTTCCCATCCAACATATCGCAATAAGCATTGTGCTTTGGTACTTTTAATATGAAACAAAGTCTCAGATTTCACATTGTCCATTGTATTGCAGTATTCAAACAATTAATGCCGTTTTGGCGCGGTTTAATGTGTAGTGACAGATCGCTGTAGCTCCTCAGTTCAACAGATGCGGCAAGGTGCACGTGAACTGATCATCTCCTCCACATTAATACCAGTTTCAGCACAAAATAAACATGACTAAACATCTGAAGGTAAGTTAAAAGAGTACAACTTTACAATCCGTATTCCCAGGTTCAATCCTCAATCAGTGTTTCAGCCGCGCAAAGATGTCAATATAAAGGCTTGTAAACAATGTCACATGACGTCACATTTACCTCAGAAAAACATATTTGGTGACCATAAATAGAAAAATAAACTGTAGAGAGGGGCATTTTGCTAAATATATGCACCATATACTGTTCTTCAATGTTTAATTTATGTTTGAATAAATCCATCAGGTTTTTATGACAGCTACCATGTTTATATATACATAAAAAAAACCCCGAATTGAAGTAAAAATATTATGTAATTGTAACTTATTTTAAAAACTTCATTAAGTGTAATTAACAAATCAATTTTAACCTTCAATATTATAGTAATGTAGTACTAACTGACTCTCATGTATATTTTACAGCATTAGTTGAGATTTTTTTCCCTTGAGAATTTGGTATGTACTGTAACTGATATATATCCAAAATAATCGATATTGAATCGAATCTCAAGCTTGTGAATGAGAATCGAATCGAATAGTGAAATTTGTGTCAAAACCCAGCCCTATTTCTTATATTAAGAAAGTTCCTGCATAGTTCTAAGGTTACGCATCAAGACTCACCTGTAGATTCCCACAACAACTGCGTGATCTCTCTCATATGGCTCCAGTGTCAGCTGCTCCTGAGGTTTCATGTTTTCAGCGCTCATCTTCTTAACCTCTGATGCAAACACTGCCTCTGGAGCAGCTGTTGAATCAATGCAGTTAGCCTGATGAAGAAAAAACAAGTTAAGTTTACAAGTTAACAAGTGAAGACTGATAAATACTTGCAGCAAAAACATGACCAATGTCGACATGGCAGCATTATATTTATTTCACCTTGATGGAAATAACGAAATGTCCTCCATTCTTCAGGAAATTGTGTGCATTGAGGGCGACGATTCTTGTTTGGTCAGGCTGAGCAACATCAGCAAATATAACATCCACCATACCTGAAAAAAAAACAGGGCAGTGCTTTATTAAACTACCTGGTAATGTGCATTTGTTATCTTTCGAATGTTCACATCACAGTAACTTACCAACAAGCATGCGGTATTTGTGCGGGTGCCGTGCATCTTCAATGATGGGAATAATGTTGGTTCTCTTTTTCGCCACATTCAGCAAGTCTCTGCCTGATCTGTGGGAGAACTCGACAGCGTACACCAACCCCTCCTATGAGGAGAAAATGAAAGAAAATCAGAAAAGTTCAAACGATGCTTCCAGAAATTAAACAAATTAATATTAAAGGGGTCATGAACTGAGAAATCAAAATTCCCTTGATCTTTTGACATTTAAAAGATCATTGTACTATAAAAACATCTTGTAAGTTTCAGAACTTTCTTGTTAGTCTAAAAACATCTTATATTGAAGCCAATCTGCCAAAATGACAGGTTGTGGAATGTGCCACTTTATGATGTAATAGTGTGGCTAAACCCCGCCTCCGCAGAAGATGATCAACACCTGCTTCTACATCACTGCCTGTTTAGCTGTTTTGCTATTAGAATAATTGTAAAGTGATTCTACTTTGAGCTCTAATGTGTTTAAACTTTTTTTCCTATGTAAAAATACCATCCCAGCTTTATATTTAGACACCTAAATTATTACAATACACAGTATTATGCAGAAAACACACACTTTAATGTTTCAGTGTTTTATATTTGATGCTGGTCTATGCAGACTTGGACTTTAACAATTGTAAAGAAAAAAAGACACATACCGGTCCAACAATGTCAGAAACATGGGATACAGTAGTTCCTGATGCGGCTCCTAAGTACATGACCTTCACTCCTGGCTTGATGTGGATCTGGTCAACACCACCTAAAATGGCTGCGGCCAGCTTCGAACGGAAAGGATTCCATGCTCTGTACTCAATTTTAGTTTCCCCTTCCTTACATCAGGAAAAAAAAAAAGAACATGTAATGAATGCAATGCTTTCTATAACTACTTGAGCATTAAAGTGAGCATTAAAGACATTCTATAAGCTCACCTCAACACTTATTCTCTTCTCTCCATACACAGAATCTCCAACCACCATGTTCTTTGTGACCAGGGCGTCCTCTTTACCACGGCAGATAAAAACTCCTGGAATTTTAAACGGAACATGGTTAACACATTCTCAGAAACAAAAGCAACTCCAAAATGTTGTTGACTAGCCTATTGTCTGCATTTGAGAATGTTGTAATGTTGATGACCCACCTTCATGTCTATGGGGCTCTACAGTCACCTTTATGCCCCCTCTGAACCCTCCTCGTCCTCCTCGGCCTCTAGGAGTACCACGACCACCCCCTCGTCCACGGAATCCACCATCACCTCCAGGGGACCTGAATCCTCCGCCTTTATCAAACAAGAGACAAAGAAATCAACTGAATGGAAACAATTCAATTTCAATATTTCTGGCATACTAAACTAGAAGTTTTTTTTTATTAAAAGTACAGGAATACTGAAATATTGATATATTTAGTATTGATAAAAAAAACAATATATAAGATTTTTTTATATTAATATATATATATACACACACAGTCATGGTCGGTTTGTGTTTGGATTATTGTACGGTTGGAAGATCCAAACATGGCCCATTATAAGATTTCTAACAGAGTCAGTCACTTACTGATTTTTATCTGTTGGTATTTGATAGAATCAAAGATGCCATGTGTCTAAACAAGATGTCCAGGACCTCCCGCAGAAATATAGGCCCCACAACATAAAAAATACAGCAGTATATTTCATTGTACACAAAAAAAGCATTTTATCCCCGTGTTCACCAAACCCATCTTGAGTGTTTTCTGCTAAAAAGCTAATTTTTTTAGTTATATCTGACCATAGAAGCCAGTCCCATTTGAAGTTCCAGTCGTGTCTGATAACTGAATATGCTGGAGTTTGTTTTTGGATGAGCTAGGAGAATTTTTCTTGAAATCCTCCCAAACAACATGTGGTGTAGGTGCTGTTTGACAAATTTTTTTTTAAAGGATTTCTGACCCCGAGACTCAACTATTTTCTGCAATTCTCTAGCTGTGGTCCTTGGAGAGTCTTTAGCCACTCAAACTCTCCTCCTCACCGTGCATTAGGACGATATAGACACACTTCCTCTTCCAGGCAGTTTCATAACATTTTTTGTTGATTGGAAATTCTTAATTATTGCCCTGATGGTGTAAATGGGAATTTTCACTGCTCTAGATAATTTCTTAAAGCCACTTCACTAATTTGTGAAGCTCAATTATCTTTTGCTGCACATCAGAAATATATTCTTTGGTTTTTCTCATTGTGATGGATGATTAAGGGAATTTGGGCTTTGTTTTCCCTCCTATTTATATTCCTGTGAAACAGGAAGCCATGGCTGGATAATTTCATGTTCATAATTGCCCTGGAGCGCTCAAAATTGTGAATATGAATGGGAATATACTTCAGAGATATTTAACTCATAAGAATTTCTAGGGGTGCCAATAATTGT